TTTATATGGTCGAAATGTTTTCTTTTTGTAATTTGTAAGTATAGTTTAAAACACGAGAGGGAGTGTTTTATCAGATATAAAGATTCGAAAAAAACTCCAACACTAATTTGAAACTCAAATCCGTTAAARTTCTTGATGAAATTGCCGTACAAATATGTTMAGAGATAAATGGGGCAAACKGATCATGCGCGAATCACTTTACAAAGCACTTTTGTCATCCYACATTGAATACRCATAAAGTARAATAGAACCGCTCTTGGCTGTTCACTGAAATCGGTTGAMATCCTGCATTGGTCAATGATGAGGTTTCAAACCTGAGACCCTTGCTAGGGTCATGGGACTTTATATCTAGTAGCTCATTAATTATGTATGAGTTTTTTAAGGCCTGACAGAAAATATATTGATAMATTTATTATTTCATTTTTATCACTATCTAAGTCGATAAATTGCGTAAAATTATTTTGATGACAAGAATTTGTTTATATTGTGATATTTATTTATTTATTTAGAGATTTCCGTCACGCTACTAGGTTTACAAAAAACAAAACAAAAAAAAAAAACAAAAACAAAAACAAACAAGAGGCCAGTAACTTGTAAAAACAAGTATTTGACTATGTATATATATATGTTGTCTGAGATGGTGTAATATATGTTGTAAATGAATGATCTAATTTATTAATGGTAAGACCGTTCATTTACAACAAATATTTGACTGTTGAATTTGTTAAAAATAATAATTTTACGTCAACACAGAGCATCTTGTATCCACCTCGAGGTGAATATCTTCTGATAATCACCGTTCGGCAACCAATCACAGCCCGTGAAAATCTGTATTCAATTCTAAAATYAAACTAAATAATGATAAAGAGTATTATGATGATAGTGACATAACAGCAGTATTCTATTGAAGCTGCCAGTATGGACTTGACCAAATCAAAGACCTTACAATAGCCCACTTGCGAATTACGCATCAATAGTCACATACAAAGGAATCAAGACGAGGCGCCGTGCTTTTTTGTGAAAAATATATTGTCTTTAGCACGGCGCCTCGTCTTGATTCCTTTGTATGTGACTATTGATGCGTAATTCGCAAGTCGGCTATTACACGAATTCGTATCGGACACACTAATTTGCCAATTATAGATACATTGTACGATAGAGTCATTTTTATTCGTCTRTGAAATAGGAATTGTACTATTAAATACTATTACCCTCTATTAGCTTCAAATAGTTTAACTTATGACATGCGACAAACAAATTAGGCAAAAACGGTTTTGATTTTGCCTTTTGGTAGCCTACTACACCCTAATAGGTATAGTTTACAACATGAGCGGCCGTGTTGTATGGGATCCCGTGGGTATGGGATTTACATTTTGATACTGACTAGTAGTAATTGTTTCACAGACGGAAAAAATGACTCTATAAAAACAATCTGATGCAAACAATGCGCTCAAATATAATATGTAATATTACATACTTCA